TGAAATTGCATTGCAGTAAATCAAAATGGTACTCAGTAGTTTGTATGACCCCCCATATGCTTGTATGCATGCCTGAGAACATTGGGGCATGCTCCTAATGAGACGACGGATGGTGTCCTGGGGTATTTCCTCCCAGATCTGGACCAGGGCATCACTGAGCTCCTGGACAGTCTGAGGTGCAACCTGACATCGTCGGATGGACCGAAACATGATATCCCAGAAGTGTGTTCTATTGGATTTAGGTCAGGCGAGTGTGGGGGCCATTCAATGGTATCAATTCCTTCATCCTCCAGGAACTGCCTGCATACTCTCGTTACCTGAGGCCGGGCATTGTCGTGCACCAGGAGGAACCCAAGACCCACTGCACCAGTGTAGGGTCTGAAAATGGGTCCAAGCATTTCATCCCAATACCTAATGGCAGTCAGGGTGCCATTGTCTAGCTTGTAGATGTCTGTGCGTCCCTCCATGGATATGCCTCCCCAGACCATCACTGACCCACCACCAAAACGGTCATGCTGAACGATGTTACAAGCAGCATAACATTCTCCGTGGCTTCTCCAGACCCTTTCACGTCTGTGACGTGCTCAGGGTGAACCTGCTCTCATCTGTGAAAAGCACAGGATAGCAGTAGCTGACCTGGCAATTCTTGTCTTCAATGGCAAATGCCAATTGAGCTCTATGGTGCCAGGCAGTGAGCACAGGGCCCACTAGAGAATGTCAGGCCACCCTCATGAAGTCTGTTTCTGATTGTTTGGTCAGAGACATTCACACCAGTGGCCTGCTGGAGGTCTTTTTGTAGGGCTCTGGCAGTACTCACCCTGTTCCTCTTTTCACAAAGGAGCAGATACTGGTCCTGCTGATGGGTTAAGGAACCTATACGGCCCTGTCCAGCTCTCCTATAGTAGCTGCCTGTCTCCTGGAATCTCCTCCATGCTCTTGAGACTATACTGGGAGACCCAGCAAACCTTCTGGCAATGGCACATATTGATGTGCCATCCTGGAGGAGTTGGACTGCTTGTGCAACCTCTGTAGCATCCAGGTATCAGCTCATGCTACCAGTAGTGACATTAACCCTAGCCAAATGCAAAACTAGTGAAAAACAGTCAATAAAGATAAGTAGGAAAAAAAAAATATCAATGTCCTCCAATGTAAAACTATTCCTGTTTTGGGGGTTGTCTCATTGTTGTCCATCTAGTGCACCTGTTGTTAATTTCATTAACTCCAAAGCAGCTGAAACTGATTAACAACCCCCTCTGCTACTTAACTAACCAGATTAATATCCTAGGAGTTTATTTGACTTGATGCTTTACTCTGATTAAAACTGTTCCTTTAATTTTTTTGAGCAGTGTACATTCCATGGAAAGTACTTAAAAAATGTATTTTGTTTTAACATTCAATTTTGCAATGAATAGGCTTCCCGAACGAAAACCGCATCCATTGTTAGAAATGTGTTGATTCGAAAAAAGTTTCCCATCCTTCTCTTTCAAAATTTCTCCTCACTGCGCCTGAAAATGAACTTCAATTTGACTTCACTAATGATTACAAAATCAAATGAACATTCTTAAAATGCAAAATTTCGGATGAAATTCTACTAGTGTAGAGACAGATTTAAGCTGGCCATAGATGGCTTGCATTTCAGTCTATTCAGCAGGAAATTTGATCTGTGGATGGCCCTGCAAGCAACATCCTTATCAGATGCAGGCACTGTTGGGGTATTCAGGTAGCCATGGCTGATGAATACAACAGCTGGTAGTGGAGATTCTTCCATCCACACTCTTTAGGGTGAATGGAGGAATCAATTGTTTTTTCTAAATAATCTAAACAGATGCTATGCAAGGATGGGATGCCTTAGTCAGTTGAAATTGATGGCTCTCCAGGGTATCATCCTGGGTATATACAAGATTAGAATAAATTCAAAGTTAGGACTTTAAATATACCACTAGGAACCAAAACAAATCAAACTCTTTTCGTAAAAACAAAATATTTATTACAAGGTGTAACTTGAAAAAGTCAAAGATATGACCATCGTAAAATTTGTGTAATATATATCATGCTGTATATGCAGGTCTTGGTTGGACATACTATGCTTTCTATCTGGACAGGAAGGAGGAGGTTCCTTGAGGACACTACTACCATTTGAGTATATTTGACCTCAATATCATCAAACTAGACGATATAATCATTCAGAGCTTGTGATTGTGCTGAATTACAATACTCTATAGGGAGTTTATTTGGGGCCTTATGGAACCAGGGATCCTTCCTATGGGTCGTTGGGTGCATGTTTAGACATATATACCCCTGTTGCCATTTGATTGCCCCTCTACACTTTATTGTGAGCTTATATTTATTGTATTCAGTGAAATCTCTTGTCTTTAAACAGTCCCAAGAAACACGTAGACCTATCAAAGGACATGTGAGCAGCACTAGGGTTGTTGGTTCAAATGCCTGCATAGCATCAACATCATCTAGCAGTAGATAAAGGATCTTTACAGGCATCATCGGGAAGGAGATCACTACACTGGTATAGTTCCAGTGAGAGGAGGCAAATTAGGACATGAAGTGTCTCTTTAGGTACTTGCCATTGAACATCAATGATGGTGTTCCTTTCATTCCACGGACAACAACAGAAGTGTTTCATCCCACTGACACCAAAAGTATTTGGATGAAGGCAGGGTTCAACCCAATGATAGTAACCGAGGGGGGTAGGGGATTATACTACTGACATCACTTGGGGGAGGTTGTATAACACACTGACAGCAACTAGGGGGTGCTTGCTAGTTTTTCATAGACCATAATCCATGAAGGTTTATTTGATTATTTCCAATTTTACTGTTGGAGATTTCCAGGGTCTTGTGATTGAGATGTTTACTGCTGAGAGTGTCTAAAAAGGCTTCCAGATTCCAGGAATAGATTGGTTTAATAAAACCATGTGTGGGTCTTAAAGTATATTAATATGAGTTATTAAGTAAATAAATGAGAAGTATGTCACCAGCACACAGAGGATCTTCAGAATGGGTCCAAAGTTTTATTCAGCGATCACATCATAGTTACAAAAGTGACGTTTTAGAGCATCATAGGGCCCCTTCATCAGGCATGTGAGGCTCTTAAACGTTGCATTTGCAATTATTATATAATCACTGAATAAAGCTTTGGACCCATTCTGGAGATCCCCGGTGTGCTGGTGACATACTCCTCGCTTTGAATGGCTTTGGTTTCCACCCGGTGGTCTCTGCAGCACCCACTTACATTTACAGCCACTTTCAGGAATGTGTGCATTGGGAATATTGTGCTTGAATTAAGTAAATAAGAGTACATATGCTGCTCAAGATTTGATTTTAGAGCACGACCACAGGGTATGGCACATTATTATTATTATTATACAGGATTTATATAGTGCCAACAGTTTGCTCAGCGCTTTACAATATAAAGGGAGACAATACAGCAACAATACAGTTCAATACAAGAGGGATAGGAGGGCCCTGCTCCTTGGAGCTTACAATCTAGGATTGGGGGAGATTTACTAAAACTGGTGCACTCGGAATCTGGTGTAGCTGTTCATGGTAGCCAATCAGCTGCTAACTTCAGCTTGTTCGATTAAGCTTTGACAATAAAACATGGAAGCTGATTGGTTTCTATGCAGAGTTGTGCCAGATTTTGCACCATGCAGTTTTAGTAACTAACTTCAATTGCTCCTCTTTTGCGTTCAATTATCTACAGGATGAGTTTTCTTTTTTTTATATTTGCCTTTATGAGAGACATGTTTATTACATTCTATTAAACTGTTTGTTTAAAAAAAAAAAGAAGGAATTACAGCTTACTTGTTATGCATAGTGTGGGGCCGAGTCAAATGATGAATATGACACTTGATATTAATTCTACTGTTTTCAAAGAAGTTCACTTTCCAAGACTAGAGGCCAATAAATAACAGACTAACTTAGAACTCACTGTCTGTTTCTTGTACAGATTTATCTAAGATTGTTTATGAACTAACTGCAGGGAATCAGACATGTCTAATCCGATAGTGACAGCACTCGACCAGTGCACATAATACTCATAATACAATAATCCCAAAATGGAAACTAAATGTGGCTATGTTGTTCAGTGTAGACTCCAAAGATTACATAAGAGAAGATCATCTAAACAAAAAGTCTGCGGTAGCACTGATCACAAAGTATTGCATGAACATGGCTTGATCTTTTCTGGCTTTAGAAAGCTACACATTGCAGTTACAATATAAGACTCAGGCAAGACAAATGGCTCCACATAGAACAGGTCATCAGATAGTGGGCCTTACAACCTCGACATTCAGTACATTCATCTCTGAAATTAATATTGGAGATTGCCAACTCTATGTAGATTTTGTATGTATGTGATTAAAGAACACCTTTTCTTAAACCTCACATATCCAATACTTTACTCTGTTTGGCTATATGGAGGTATCACTAGTCATTTGCCCCGTTTCCTCATAAATGGGTATTGCTGTATACAGAGGGCTGTCACTATTTAGGTCAGGGGTGGCATGAGGTGGAGGAGGTAGGGAGAGCTATTTGGGTATCAGGTGGGGGCAGGGGGCTTTAAATGTTTGGGTAACATTACACATGAAGTGAGGGAGAGCAGTCAGAAATTTGGGTCAAGGGTGGCATGAGGTGGAGAGATGGCTCAAAACTATTTGGGTCAGTTGTGGCATGAGGTGAGGAGAGGGCTGTCACTCTTTGGGGGGGGGGGGGGGGGGGGCATGAGGTAGTGGAGGACAGAGGCCCATCCCTATTTGGCTCAGGGGTGCTATTGGGTGTTGGGAAGGAGCTGTAAATATGTGGGACTTGAGAAGTAAGAGGTAGAGGGAAGGGGGTGTCACTGTTTGGGTAGGGGTGGCATAAGATGGGGTGAAGGCTGTCACTATTTGGGTCAGGAATTATGTGAGGTGTGTGTATGAAGGAGAGGAATGTCTCACAAAAGCTACAAAATTGTTAAACAAATGTAGATTGGATGTAATAACTTACATATGAGCCATAGTCCACTGCTAGTGTCTGTAGCGCCCATGGAAGTCCAAGTCCAATAAGAATGTCAAATACATTGCTCCCAATGGAATTTGACACAGCCATATCACCCATTCCTAAAAAAAGAAAGAATTAATCAGTGTGTTTCATTGTCACTCTTTTTTTCTAATTCTTAAAGAAAGCTCTGTTGGGTCCTAAGTTCAATTCGGCACTGACACTGATTTTTTATGTTCTTGCTGTGTTTTTATGGGATTTTTACCTAAATCCAAAAAACATGTTTACCTATATAACCTATATATCTGTGGGACATTCCAACTGTGAGAAAAGTGAATGTTGCTGGTCTAGGGCTCAAAGGGACGTATATGTTGGCTCCTCTCACCCTCTACACACATTAATTGAAACTTTGAAGGCCATTTTCAATCTAAAATGAATATGTCCTTTGCTGATACTTATCCTTTTTTTGCTACCCCACCACTCTATTCAGTGTTGGGAGCTGAAGGAAATACCTGGTACATCCAGATATGGGGGGACGTGTGACTCAATCTATGGGACATTGTTCAACCAATCACCGATGTCCATATCCATGTGTAAACTATGACTCCAGCAACTCATATCTTACTCAGGAGTTTACTTTACTCCCAACAGCTGAAGAGAGTAACACGAAAATAAAAGGAGGGTAAATATATGCTGCTGGGGAGACCTAAGTTAACCTCCTTGGCGGTATTCCCGAGTGTAGCTCGGGGTAACATTTCAGTACCAAAAGCGGTAACCCCGAGCTACACTCGGGAATACCATGCGGCGCTGCTCCGGCATGTGTTCTTCACTTACCTTACCCTGCGCTCCCACGATGTGTCCCCTGCAGCGTCCCCGGCCATCTCCTCCGGCCGATGCCGGCATCCGGCTTCTGTGTCCTGTCCCTGTGACGTCGGGACGTACGGGCGCCGCCGCCGGCGGCGGCGGGAAATTTAAAAATTTTAAAAAATGTCATTTTTTTTTTTTTTTTTCATTTTACACAGTAAAACATTGCTGTTTCAACCTATTTCACATACATATTGTCCCTAGTGCTTTGTCCTGCGCCCTGCCTGCATTTTGTCTGTTCTTTCTGCCTGGAAACTGAGAAATGTCCATGGCGTCCAAAAAGTGTCCCTTTAGGTCAAAAGTGGTTTAGATCAGCTAGAGAACAGCGATAGTAAATCAGAACCACTTACAGAATTGAGTGATAATGATTCGTGGGGGAAATTCGTCATCAGAAACTGAAAACGATTTTGCGACTGAGCTCAGCAATGTGCGAACTTGGCGCTCTATTTCACATTTCAGTGTTTTTGGTTTGATTATATTATTGAATTAAATTTTTTTTATTATTTTTATATTATTTTTATGATTATTTATTAAATTATAATTTATGATTTTGTGTTTCAAATTTTATCATACCCGGGATGTTTACTAGACTCTTGTTCGGACAGATTTCAGTGAGTTTTTCCTAAAAATTACAGCCTACAATAAAAAAAATACATATTTCCATGCAAAAAAATGGTACCGCTTTCAGCACCAAAAATCTGAAATAATCATACCGCCAGGGAGGTTAAGGTAAACCTTTTGCTTTGCCTTGTGTATGGAAAGCATAGGTTCACATTAGGCACCCCAGGTGTCTGAAATGTCCAGGGGGCTACTGGAGTGATTGAGAATCTTTCCTCCTTCACACCTAAACCACACTTTTGTTTATTAATGTAATGGGCAGGCTCTATGCCCGCCAGTAAACACCGGTGATGTGCCCTTTTCAGCCATACAACCTCAGTTACACAGTATACTACTCTTAGTGCAAAAAGTATTTTGCAGGTGGGTGAAAAATTTGACCAATCCACATCCTTCATGATGATTATCTCAGGTCTCTCCATTCAGAAGATGGACTATGGACTACACTAACCTTGTCTTGCTACTATCAGGCTGGCCATACAGTCTGGTACACTTGTTCCAGCTGCTAGGAATGTGATCCCCATAATCACATCTGGAATTCCTAAGGTGTAGCCAATGATTGTGACCTGGAAAACAGCAATACAAAATGTAACCATCACCATTTCAGAAATGCTAAAATGGACAGAATTTATTTAATTTGTACGTTCTATACCATGTATGTTATACACGAAGTCTTGTTTAGGAATGCAAAATATTTACACATTGATCAAAGCTACCTTTGCTAGCAATAACACAATGCATGTCTATGTATAATAATGAGTTGTTCCCTAAGCCCCCGGTCACATCAAAGCCGATTTTGAAATCGTGCGACTTACATTGAAGCCGCATGATTCAAAAATCAGGTGACCTGCCGACTTCAGTTGTGATTTGCAAGCCATCTGATACAGATGTCTATGCAAATCGCAACAAAAGTAGTGCATGTACTATTTTAGAAATCGGTGCGGCTCCGACCAAGTCGCACCAATATGACCGCTCTAATAGAGGACAATAGGGTGTGACTTGGCATACGATTTGCAAGTCACCTGTCATGCAAATGCCAATTCACACGATGTGACGGGGGGTGTTAGGCTTTTTTTTCCCCACATCTAATAACTGGTAAGCTGCGATATGTTATACTATATAATAATATTTTTGTTTATGGGTTTAATACTGCCTCAATCTCTTAGGTCATAATTATTGGTTAGTAACAGAGGCGGACTGACCATTCGAGCACTCGGGCACTGCCCGAGGACTTGGGGTCAGTAGGGGGCCCCATGAAATGCCCCTGGTACATTTTTTATAGGCTTTTTTGAGTGTGGGCAAGGACACAGGGGCCCCATGATCCCCTATTGCCCGGGGGCCCCATGAGTTGTCAGTCTGCCCCTGGTTAGTAAAATATGTCTTTGTAAAAAGTCTACAGCAAGCTCTATGGGTTCTAGTGCTATGTTTACTCTCGGGACATTACAATTAAGGTTTCTGTATTCCTTTGTCTATGGCAAGAGTTTCAAAGTTTCAACTTGGGCTTACAGATGATGATCAATGCTATGGCTGAGTTTACCAGATGCCTTTTAAAAGAAAATATGTGCAGAACACTCTGACTAGGAGAGTATATGTCGTTAAAGAAAATGCTATCACAATGACTGAGATTGGATGGTGACACTAAGGGGTTTATTTACTAAGGCTGGAGAGTCCAAAATCAGACTCCCTTCTGCATACAAACCACACAGCTTCTAACCTCAGCTTGTTCAATGAAGCTTTGGCAATGAAACCTGGAAGCTGATTGGTTTCTATGCAGAAGGGAGTCTGATTTTGGACTCTCCAGCTTTAGTAAATAAACCCCTATTTGTTCTCTGCCTATTGCTCTGAGTGAAGTCTAACAAAACTGAAAACAAGATGGCAGTACCCATGATAAGCATTCAAAGCCTAACAATTTTCAACAGATTAAGAAATAAATAAACCTGATTTATTGCTCTAAACTACACAACTGAGTTATACTCAAAGGTCTTACTTACCATCCAGACCATCACATAAGAAAAAGCTGCAATCCAGATGGAGGATGAGCCAAAAGTAACCATAAACCATTTCTCCCAGCGTGGCTTAGCACAGTTAGGTACCGTGAAGTACATAAGGAAAGATAATGGCCATGTTACTATCCATTTTGCTCTGTCAGCTGCTCCAGCTGTTAGGGGAAGAGACAAAGGCATTGTGATATGTCAGATACAATAAAAGGAATGAGTATAGAAAACAAGTAAGTCCACTAGAAGACATTAAGCAAATATCTTTGTTTCTTCCCACCTGTATTTTTTCTGTCTTGTACTAAACTGCCTCAGTGTCAGGACCTGGATCACTTTCTGGTGTCCACCTGCGGGTGTCTCCCAGCAGCCAGCAAACCCCAGTAATCAATTTCCGCCTGATGCTGGCTCCTGGGAGGGTATTGAGGTCCTCCCATACTAGTGCCTCTCGCTCCAGTGTTTTTCTGCTGACAGATCCTGTTTGCCATTGATCCTGATGTTCCCCCTGCCCTCTACACTGTACTCTGTACCCTGCTGCCTTATACCTGATCTCCCTTGTTCCTGATTCCAGTTTATGTTCCCTCTTCCCATTTGCTCCCTGCACCTCCAGTTTTTCCTCATTTGCAATTATTATATAATCACTGAATAAAGTGATTTCTCTGTTCCCCATATTGTATATAGTATGTTGTAGTTAGGATTTCTGTTTGCCAGGTTTATTAGTTAGGTATTCTGTCAATGGGTTTTAAGTTCACTTATATTTTTAGGTTTGCTGTGTGCTGTTGTTTAGATGGAATTTGATCCACTGTAAAAATAAATCTCACTTAAAACATACACAGTCTGATCTCAGTCTGCTGAATGTAGCCACGCAGATCTGGCCATCTCTGCTGCAGATTCCTGACAATCAGTTTGCTATTGTTCTGTAGCATCTAGTGGCAGTTTAGGGCCATTACAACTTGTTCACTTATATGTTTTGGTGTCTCCCTTCTATCCTCCCCTGTCCTGTTTAGAGCTAGTTAGTTCAGTCCTAGCTAGACCCTCCCTACTTCTTCTATGGTCCGTCAGTCAGTTTTTCTCAAAGATAACATTTAGAAAATGCATTGTCTTCTTAAAATTCAAAAGACTGGAAAATGTTCTGTCCACTACAATTAGCTCAAAAGCCTTTTGTTAGATCTGTTCGATATGTGCCTGCTGAGACTGCCATAAATCTTGTAGGCTGATAAAATCGTATGCCTCTGCTAACAGTTGTTGGTTAGTATTGTTCTTGGCCATCTCTGTGGACTAAAAATTACCTCCCACCTATGTTATGGAGAATGAGAGAGGAGTGGGTGTTCTATAGCGTTGTCCCATGGTGACAACATTGCTGCTCCATAGATAACACTTAGTGAGTGAGTGTTGTTATTCTAGGACAGGAAGTGTTTAATTTGCAGGATCCTCAGGTATAGGGAAAAAAATTGAAAAAGGAAAACTAATGCAGCCACTACAATTAAGACCAGATAACTTCACTACATTTTTTACTATTTTCTTGGATTTAGATACACTCTAAATGTGCTAGCAGCTTAAAATATGATCACAACCAAGACTGTAAGTGGCCATTGAGAGGTTAGAGGTAATACCTATGACACATGGCCTCTGGTTAGGGATGCCAACTGTCTGTTTTATATAGACAGTTTGTAAAAATATAGGCAAAATTCCTTGCCCATTAATGTTTGTTTTCTCCCCGTTAGATTGGTGGCCAGTGAAAATGCCCATTACTTTGGTGGTCAGTGTAAAATGTGCTTGTAATGGCTAGCAAAGTAATGAGATTTTCAGATTTTATATTATTCTCCTTCTGACACTGATGCCGGGTATTATCCTTTCCACTTATCACCAAAACCAGACTTTTTTCTGATTGCTGACATCACGGCATCCCCCGACTGACCAACCATGTTGGCCATTATTTTCCTCCCAAGAACCACTGATAAAAGGTCCTTTGCCCTTTTTTACCCCTAACATCAGATCTTCTCTTCCCTGCCAGAATGGTAAATTGACTTTTACATAACTGGACACTGTTCCAATAATTATTTTTTCGTGTGCTCCATTTCTAATAGAACTGGGAAGAGCCAAAAGACGAAACGGCAAAAAGTCAAGAATTAAAGCCCAATGCTTTTAGCAGAAAGCAAAACTATCTAATACCATTCCAAAAAAGCTGTGAAAACTCTGGAATCTATTTTCCGCTAGAAAGAATCCAGCTAAAGTGGCTTAAAGTAAAACCACAGGAAAAATCATTACAGATCCATTGGCCTACATTCATTGCATTCCTAAATTTATTGTAAACATTTTTGCTATTGTAGGTTGAGAATCCTACTTGTTTATTTAATAATGCTTTTTAAATCCCAATTCCAGCCAATTTCTGTGGTTTGTATACATTTTAGCTGTCATTGATGTTGAAAAATACTTATATGTGTTCATCTGCTGCCATCTAGTGGCTGCATGTAAGAAATTAGATACTACCATAATCCTCAACACCTGTCATCTATCTATCTATCTATCTATCTATCTATCTATCTATCTATCTATCTCTCTATCTATCTATCTATCTATCTCACAATTACAGAGTTGTTTGCACCATTATACATGATGGGATGGGAGTATTACAGTTATTCCTGACAGCTATGCCGCAGAAAAGATTTGTCTGTAATATATTATTCATAAAATCACAAACTAAAATTTAGATTTTTTTTTTTTTTTGGTGAAATTTTGTATAATATTACTTTCACTGGGCTGTAATTGATCCCCTGTATTAAGATCCATTGGCTGAGGTTGACTGGCTTGCCTTGTTTAATACTGATTTTCACTATTAGTTACTCAAGGTTATCTTTATAAGGCAATGTAAAGAGCAATACTTTTCTTCAAATTTCACATTTTCTTTAGTTTTTAGCAGCCTGAATAATGAAAGATCATTGCTGATTAGTTTCTGTGAGATACAGCATTAGAATAGCAAAGAACAATTAAGAACACACTCAGCAATCATTTTTTTTTTGTTGTTTTGTCTGCTGCTAAGAGAAGGAAGGAGAAATCAGAAAGGTTACATGCAGATACATAAAAACAAAAAAAGTGGTCAAAGTCTCATAGTTTGTTTTCTTTAAAATGTAGCCACAGCCTGAGTAAAAAGCCTGTCTCTTGTCAGCATGCTGCAGAATGGAGCCCTTGCTGTCTGCTGGGAAACAGTGTCACAATGAGACTACGTGTAGGAGGGGAGCAGAATAGATTAACTATGTGGAGATTAAATGAGATGCTTATACAACACCCGGATCTAGAAAAAAGGTTAAAGAAGGAATTAGAGCAATTTTTTATACTGAATGAGACTGAGGAGGTATCTGAGGCACACAAGGCATATATTAGGGGAATTTTGATCTCGATGGGGGCGGAAAAAAAGAAAGACCAGGAGAAAAAAATAAGGTTGGTGACAGAGGAGTTGTATAACTTAGAACTTTTACATAAGAAGAAACTAGACTCAGAAATACTTCAGAAGATAACCCTTAAAAGAGAACTAAAAGATCTTATGGAAGTGGAAACAAGGAGGATCTTTAATAGGGTCTCAAAGGAATGGTATCAGTGGGGAATCGACTTGGGAAATTGCTAATGAAAAGACTAAAGGAAAAGAAATCAAAGAATTATATTGAAAAATTAAAGAAGAAAAAGGAGAATTGGTACTGTATATTCCACCACTGACATTGCTAATATGTTTCAAAAATATTATAGTAGGTTGTATGATGTAAAGAATGGGGACTGGAAAGCAACGGAGGAGAAAAGGAAGGGAAAAAGGCTGAAATATCTAAAGGAGGTGGGTCTACCAAGAATTCCAGAAGAAAAGTTAGAGGCCCTAGAGAGAGTCATCTCCCAGGAAGAAATTATTTTGACATTGAAGAGTACGGCAGTGGGAAAGAGTCCAGGTCCTGATGGTTATACGGTGGGTTACTATAAGAAATTTAAAGATATACTGGTCCCTAGATTGGAGAAGGGCTGGGGATGAGAGAAGAATCATTGCAAGCATATATAAAATCATACTCAAAGAAGGGAAAGACGGTGAGCAATGCGCCAGCTATAGACCTATATCATTATTAAATATTGATACAAAGTTATATGCGAAAGTATTAGCAACTAGGATGAAAGAACTGATGCCGGAATGGATACATCTGGATCAGGTGGGATTCATCCCCGCAAGAGAAGGGAAAGACAATGGATTGAAATCAGAGAGAGAGAGAAGCTGCCGACAATAATATTGTCGATTGATGCCAAAAAAGCTTTTGATATGGTAGACTGGGGTTTTATGATGGATACATTAGAGGCATTGGGTTTAGGGCCTAAAATGCTAAAATGGATAAAAGGGCTTTACAGTGGACCATCAGCTGCAGTAAAGGTTAACGGGTCCCTTTCACAGTTTATTAAAATGATGACTGGTACAAGAATGTGCGGGTGTGGGAATAAGAGAACAATAGCTCACATATGGTGGGATTGCCCTAAAATTCAGAAGTTCTGGCAGGAAATAATTCAATATATAGAGGAGATATCAGGGATAATTGTACAGAGGGACCCGTGGGAGTGTATATTTTATAACACCGAGACTTCTGTGAAACAATACAAAAATAGTGTATTATATCATCTAATTAGTGCAGCCAAAAGTCTTATCCCTAAATATTGGTTAGCCCAAGAGCCCCCAAAAATAAAGGAGTGGATAAAGAGAGTCGAATACATATATAAGATGGAGGAGTTGTATCATATGGATGAGAACATAATGGAAAATTGAAAGAAGTGTGGAGTAGATGGTATGATTTTAAATCATCTGAAAGATATAGGGAAGTGGTAGGAGCTTAAGGTAGGAAGTGTGGGGAGAATTGGTAAGGGTAACTGAGTAGCTATGGAACTTTAGATGAAGGAAAGGGATATAGACTTATACAAGAAAATATAAAGGAAGATACTGAAAGAATTTGGAATGTGGACCGGGGATATGGGTGGGTTGAAAATAAGTGTGGGTGGTGTAGGGAACAGGTACTAAGTATGTAGTGTTTATGTATTTAAGAATCGGTGGACATAATATTGATTTTTGTGATGAAAAAAAAAAATTCATAAAAGAGAACCACCATTAAAAAAAAAAAAAAATGTAAACTTAAGCCAGCCATAGATGGTTTGAATCTCAGTCATTTCAGCTGAGATTCAAACCATCTATGGGCAGGCTGATTGTACCCAATTCAATTGTTGTATGATGGCTATAGCCACTAGCAATAATCACTCCTGTTCTCCTGGCTGGGAGGGCATTCCCCACTCCACCTGCTGGGAGAGCACAATAGCTCTGCGGGAGGGATTTCTCCATTGATACTGACTGCAATGATGGAGGAGTCAATCAAAGATTTTCTTTCCTGTAACCTGTGTCTGCAGGTATTGCATCATCTAAGGCCAATTTGATTTTAAGCTCAGTAACAATAGGATCATTTTGTACCAATATTTCTAACAATACCTGACATTATATGTTGGAGAAGTACAAACCAATATTTCATGTTTGACAATTTTCAAGGCTTTTCAACCAACTTCAGCTGAATGGGACTTACAGGGAAGCTCAAAAGGTGTGAAAGGCCCATCATTATCATCATCCTCTTCTTCTTCTTCCTCATCATTTTCATTATTTTCGTTGTCTTCATTTTCATTTTCAGTCTCATTGCCAGCTTCAGCCACATCTTCATCTTTTCTGGTGCCATTGGCATTCCTCTCTGTTGAGTTCCCTGGGCCTGTCCCATTCTCAACTGCATGTTTGATTGGAATCTTTATAGAGACTTCTGACTCTCCATTAGCATAGCCTCGGCTGTTTATCAATCTCTGTCTCTGCAAGGGAAAATCCAGTGTAAAAATAATGTATGGCAAAGTTGCATTTGCTTGTTGAAAATCTGCCCAAAAAGCAAAGCTTTGGGCAGACTACGGTCTTCAAGTACTTGCAAATTCATAACAAGCAGTAAATACGCTTTAAAGAAGCTCTCACGGTCCTCTGTAGCTGTAGGCATTATGGGGCAATTAATCTTCAATTTTCACAGCAGATCTTGGCAGTCCTGCTCCACCTGCTCCTGTTTTATGCTTTATATTTACATTAGAGAATAGAAAGCTGGAAGGCTGCCAAGTCACTTCCGGAAGGAAGGGCAAGGTGACTTGAGTCACGGCAGTGAGTAAAATGTACTTAGCTGCAAACTTTTAGGAAGAATTGTTCCATAGGGCACCTACAGAGGTCAGTGAGCACTTGTTTTAAATATTTTTTATTTCTTGTTAATAATATTCAAATGGTTTAATGTCCAAAGCCTGGCCACAGGTTCACTTTAAGGGCAAATGAGATGACTTATTTTCCGTTGAACGCACAGGGGGTGGGGTGATCCCTCTCTCAGCTGGTCATATAGATGGCACTACCAAAGACAAGAGTTTCATTTTGCCTTGAACTATGAAACATGTAAAATGTACATACATGAAAAATGTAGGTAATTTTCTGGTGAAATTATGATTTTTTTTTAGACTTTAGAATTTATTTGAAGAGGCTATTTTATTGCACTCAGCAGCCTTCTAGTTTGTAATCCAAATCCAGCAAACCTCTGCTCTGCCTAAAATTCCATACAAAAATTATTCACAGCAGTGCTGTAAATGTATGATTGTGAAATCTTTGACATTGTATACATACTGTTAAACACTTACCTCATTTATCAGCATGCGACTGGCCATAGAAAGGCGAGTCTTGGGGGGGAAGTGGCTTGTTATCATGATTCTCAGACCAGCCTCAGAGAATGATAATTGATGAGGATACGCTGACAGGATCTCATCTACCATGATCACCGACGTTTTACGATGGAAATTACCTGTAAGCAAAATGAATAGAGAGCAATAGCATGGAGTTATAGGTTTCACTCTAGAGATTTTGCTTTTGTGTGAGTTTAATCTCCATAGAATATTAAAACACATCTACATGACTTGAAGCCTACAGGCCGTGGCAGTGCCAGAAAATGTTCTTTCCTGGTGCCTTGCCATACTTAAAATGGAAGAAAAGCCTTAGGTTGCCCATAGATGGATTAAAATTCAGCTGTTTCAGCAGGGACTGGCTGAATTTCAATCCATGTATGGGCACTGTGGTTGTACAAAAGTCAATCTAACAATCAGCTTCTGTACAACCACCTAGCTGGTGGTTGTACAACCTTGCTAGTTGAATGAAAAAACGGACTAATCTATGGCCAACTTAAGTCTTACTATTCTTAAAAAAGTTCCCTTCCCTCTCTTCCTACCTGTCCTGCCTAACCTGTAAAAAAAATTACTGTATGTGCACTTACCTATTTTTAGTCCGCTAAGGTCCAGTCATGTGATCCCACTGGGAATTCCAGAAGCTGTGCCATCACCCATAGGATTCCATGGCCCAGCAGTTGACGACTCTCCCCCTTCTCCCCTGCACCAGCCGCTCATTGACACAGGGGAGATTGTAGTAGTTATGGAATCATGTGACCAGCAGATTAAAAATAGGTAAGTACACACATCTTTTTTTTAGGGCCAGTTCACACTACAAGCCAAAATACCAGAAAGTAAGTTATCTGGTTGTGAATGTCATAGTTCACGTCACTGCTTGCAGTTGCAGTGCATTCTGATTGCAGAAAAAAAGTAGAACCTGCTGCATTTTTTCCATACAGACTGCAGTAAAAAGCATCAAAAACGCACCGGAATGAATTGGAACGCATATTAACACACAACAAATGCACTGGAACACACATTCCCTATTTAAATTGAAGAAAAAGAGGGAAAAAAAATGAACTGGAATGCATAAAAACACACTGGAACATGTCAAAAATGCATAAAAAATGCATCAGAACACGTAAAAAACATGCATGTGGGAAACCAATTTGGACTGTGTTTCTATAGTGTGAACTGGCCCTAAAGCTCCTTTCACGCAGTTTGCTTTTTGTCTGTTTTGCAGTGCTTTTCAGTTTGTTTTGCATTTTTCTACACATGTTTTTGATGCATTTTTACTGAGTTTTATTCAGCTTTTTATTTAACATGGAATTTTTTTTGTTGCTGGGCAGAATAAAAATGCAAAAATGTGGCAAAAACGTGGCAAAATGCATTTCAGCAGCTTCTCCATTGAACTCTGTTGTAGCGAAAATGTTGCTTTTTTGCTTTTAAAAAAGTCCCCGACCCTTTCCAAAAATACAGCAGCTCAAAAAGCATAGATGTGAGCATGTTCCATAGGAAACAATGTTAAATGGACTGTAGCGTGTTTCAGCAAAGAGCACTAAAAAATGAATTGGTGTGAACGGAGCCTAAAACTTTCTCCATACTGATAAAACGCAATACCAATAAATGCAGTTGTGTGTCACGCAGGGGAGAATTGACCATTTGGAAACTCGGGCACTGCCCAAGGGCCCAGGTTAGTAGGGGGCCCCCCATGAGATGCCCCTGGTACTTTTTTCATAGGCTTTTTTGAGTTTGGGCAAGGACACAGGGGCCCCATGATCCCCTATTGCCCGGGGGCCCCATGAGTTGTCACTCCGCCCCTGGTGTCACGTAAAATAAAAACATTAAATGGGAGAGTGAGGGGCAGTACTAGAAGTCAACCAAGTATGCTGCATACAAATATACTGACAAGACCTCTTCTGATCCTTCAGGCTGGGTTCACACTGATGTGTTCCGGAATTTGCAGCGGTTTCTGTACAAATTCCACACCGCATCAGAATCATACCCCGTTCATGCAAACCGCTGCGGGTGTGTATGTTAACTTAACAACACCCCGAAATCAATCCCCAAACGCGGTGCGATGTGCAGGATCGGATCGCATAGGTGTGAATACCCATGCGAACCGATGCTGCCCAAAAGAGGGTCCTGCACCTTTTTGGTGTGGGTGCGGTGCGATTTGAGCCATACAAAATGATTGGTTCCAATCATACCACACATAAATCGCAATGCGGTGCGGTTCCTATGCGAATCACATACGATATACCAGACTGCATATATGTGAACCCAGCCTCAGTTTTCCAGTCAAAGGATGGAGAGCAGGGAGGTGACCAAGCTGTATTGTTTAACAACAACATAGGAAAATCAGGTCACCAGCTTGGCTCTGTTGTCTGCCAGAGTAATGCCAGGTACATACAATGAGTTTCAGCGGGCTGAAGGAAAAAAAAACTGGGGAGCTGGAGAGGATGTTTCTGTACTAATTATGCAATGTTAGTACAGCAATCTCCCTGCTAAAATATTGTGTTCTGACAGGGGGACTGCCCTCCTGTCAGAACCCACTGGTCAGCACTCGCAGCCATTGGCCGCAGGAGCTGATCGGATGGAAATCGACAGATGTTTTTCTAGCAAGCCCGTTTCACAGAAGCCAGACGTTCGGCCGGCTTCTGTCGGACAGGTTGCTGTACACAAGGGCTGAACGTCGGACAGTCTCTGTTGATACCAGCAGATATATGGCCTGTATGTACTAGGCTTTAATCTCAGAACTGAATGGACAGAAATTAGAGTCCTTTGCTTTGTAAAACAGCTCATAGATATTTTTTTTTTACTAGCAGTGACTTTTTACGGGACTGGGGGACTGCGGCGGACATTCTGACACTGGGGGGGGGGGGCTAACTTGGTGTCACTGACACCCCAGTGACACCAATACAGTGATCAGTGCTAAAAAAAAGCACTGACACTTTACTAGTGGCACTGGGAAGGAAGGAGTTAATGTGAGGGGCGATCAAAGGGTTAACTGTGTGCTGGGAGTGTTTTACTAGGGGGCGGGGAGTGTGTGTTCTTCTCTGTAAGCACACTGAATGGAATGGCTGTACTGTGCACAGCCATCCCGAGCAGTGTGCTCGAGCTGACAGGGAGGAAGATTGTTTGTAAACAAAACAATCTTCCTCCCCATCGGAGATGCTCGGTAATCACCAGGTGCCAGCGGGTAATTACCGGCCAGGACCTGGTGATTGACATCTGCAGCTGCAAATGGCGGTGCGAGTAGGGCACGTACATATACGTGATTCTGCGCACATGTGCCGCCTTGTAACAGTATATCTGCTATAGGGCGTTCCTAAACAGTTAAAGTGGTTGTAATCTCTTACGTACACCCAGGGAAGTGACTGGCTTCAGAGAAGCAAATCCCCCTACATAAGTTCTACCTGTTTATCATCAACCCTCTCTTCTCTACATCTGTTCAAAGTCCAGAATTTATATAGCTTGTCTGAGGGTTCTGAAAACAGGGGGCGGAGAGCTGAAATTACACAGTGCAGAGCTCTGTGAGGAGAGCTCTGAGTGCTGATTGGAGGAAAAAGATGCACCCCCTTCCACACAGCTCTCAGGAACAGAGCTGAGGCTGTCAAATTGCTAGAGGTCCTTCCCCATCATCATTTTTCTCTTGGTCTCAGGAAAACTTTTCAGAAGCGATTCATGCTGATAGCAGAGGAATGAAGCAGCAGACAGACATGACACTTAGTGCTCCTAATTGAGACAAGTATAGAGGGATATGCTTTGCCCATATTTCATGTCTGAAGTTTACAACAAAGCTAAACCACCAGAATCTAAAACTGAGGTATCAGTTCCTGTGCACTTTCTTTTTCAGATACAGGAATAATTATAAGTTGGCCATAGACAACTCGAATTTTGGCTGACTCCTGCTGAATCAGGCAAATTTCAAGCTGTGGCTGACCCTGCAATAACCATCCATCTCTGCAAAAATTGATTTATAAATCAACTGAGCCAGATGAAAAATTGTCAGCTGAACAATAACGGCATCTTCTCAGGTCCAGCCACTGTTCCGGCATTCACGCCGACATGAATGCTGTAGCTGCCTGTATAATAAAGCTGCCATTGAAGATTCTTTTATGGAGCAGCACAGTGGCTAAATGGTTAGCACTTCCATCTGGCAGTACTAGGGTCATTGGTTCGAACCCCAGCCTCGGCACCACCTGCCTGGCGTTTGCATGTTCTCCCTGTGCCTGCATGGTTTTCCTCCAGTTACTCTGGTTTCCTCCCAAAGACATGCTGGTAGGTTAATTAGAACCTGTCTAAATTGGCCCAAGTATGTGTATAAATGTAAGTTAGGGACCTTAGATTGTACACCCCTTGAGGGTTAGGGACTGATATGAATGTACAATATATATTGTAAAGAGCTGTGTAAATTGATGGCACTTTATAAGTACCTGTAATAAATAAAAAAAAATAAATGCACGCTGTTAGCATTGATGGGAAAATGAACTGATAATCTTTTGTTCTGCCCGAAGGCTGAATGAGAGAAGATAGAGCTGTGTATGGCCTAAATTGGGAGATATTGTTTCAAAATGAATGTTCTCCTATTATACTGTAGCTAATATGGTGAAGTTTTATTCACTTTGTTTTTATCCAATCACGTGCAAACAAAAATATATGCGTGAATACCCCAACAGTGGCTGGACCCGAGAAAGATGCAGTTACTATTCAGCTGATAATTTTTCATCTGGCACAGTTGATTTATAAATCGATTTTTTTCTTAAATCTGTGCACATCTGTTATATTCTGTAATATATTGTGCATGTAAAAAACTTACCGAGTGATTGCTATTACCTTTTTTGAGTAAGACCACAGTTGCATCACAGTTTACGTTGTCATCTAATTCCGCATTACTTGCTAGTCCATTTGCCATGTTTGCTGCTCCCTTTTTTCTCTTTTCAAAGCATTGATGTATGCAGGAGTTGAACCTAAATCAAAATATCCTTAATTAAATGTCAAAATCAGAATGCTAGGGTATTCAAAGAACATTGATATAACCACCGGACCAGTTCAATACGATATATTAACATGATCACTTAACATGACCTGTACTATATAATTTGTAATATTATTCTATCTGCAGTCTGTAGATGAACATTCCTCATGCTGTCCTGCTCTAAGGGAATGTTATCCTAAACCCTGTCCCTCATCAATTGCCCCATTTGATGCTGACAACTTCGGTCCCTAGCAATGATTTGGAATCAGAGTGGTACCTCATCATCACGTGACTGCTTTGCAATCTATTATATAACAAGCTACAGGTTCATTTAAAAAATTGCCATTACAGCATGAAGAGGGCAGGTTGCCACTGTTTAATACTATAATTGTCAAAAACAGTATGAAAAAAAAAAAAAAAAATCCTTGTTTTGCATTTCACATGCAAAGTTCTGGATCACTTCCTGACTTTTGAAAGGCTTGCCTAGGTGCTCATGTTCTTGTAGCCTCATAGCTGTATATTTGTATTGTGAGATCATCAAAAGCACATGTCGTCCACTCCTTCCTCTGATAACTGCTGTGTTCATGAGATTTGAAATGTCTTCCTAAACACAGCAGTGAAAATTGTTAATGTCACTATTATACTGCTCATAGTTCTTCTGAGGCCTTGAGATCCTTTATTGTGAGTGAGCATCGCCCTGATTCATTAAAGCGGAGTTCCACCCAACAGGGGAAGTTCCGCTTTAATGCTTTGTCCCCTGCTCCCCATTAAGAACTGACACCTTTGGAGAGTGGGTATCCGAATTTGGCAGTTACCCACTCCCACTTCTGCTGCGATCGCCTAGGCTCTCTCCCTCCCCGTAGTCTTCTGGGACACGTGATAGGTCCCAGAAGACTGGGCTATTCAAAAAGCACAGCGCTTCTTGTGCATGCGCAGTGGGCACCCGGATGTGAAGCCACAAGCTGTCACAGCTGGGTGCCCACACTAAAGATGCCAGAGCCAGGGAGAGAAGATGGCCGGTGAAACCAGCTGTGATGAGGACACTGCTGGACCGAGGGACAGGAAAGTGGCTGTATTTTTAAAGTCAGCAGCTACATTTTTTGTAGCTGCTGACTTTTTTTTTCCAGCTGGAACTCCGCTTTAATTCTGTAGATCCCTTCACTAGTTATCACTTCATTAGATCAGTGTTTTACAGCCTTTTTTTTCAGCCAAGGCACCCTTTAAAATTATGCACAGTCTCGAGGCACCCCATTGTCAAATGTAAAGAACTAAATTGATAGTTTTACAAAGTGCAGCAACATCCATGAATATAGTACTTTTCTTTTGTATTTTATTCTATTCTTTTATATTCTGTTCTTTTTTCCTCTATTCTTTTCTATTCCTTTAATTTCTATTCTATTCTATTCTTGTTTTTTTAATTTGTATCTGAATTTGTTTTCCGAATTTGAATTTGTTTTTCAAATTTGTTTTCGAATTTGATTCGATTAGAATTTCAATCAAATTTTGATTTGTTTTTTCAAATTCATTCAAATTTCTTACTATTGTAACTTGGATACATCCGAATCTCCATATAATGAAAAATTTGTCCAAATTTCGATCCCGAACGAAACAAAACCTAGCTACTTTACCAAGATAGCCATTCCATACTGAGACATAGCTTAGAATAAGGCATTGTAGGTCAGTTGTAGGTAAAAAAAAAAAACAGCTGCAGGGAGACCACAGTTAAAATTGCCGACTAATTCTTTGTCCTCCACTTGACTTCTTTTTAACCCAACTTCCACAGCATAGACCCTTTTTAATTGTTATTTATACTAAAACAGCCATGCTACCTTAAACCTGTTTTTTCTCATTATATGAAAATTAACTGTATTATTGAGAACTGTTTCAGAGTAAAAATAACAGAAGTCAGAAAGAGCTATCACTACTTACTTCATTATGAGGATGTAAACTGCATACATTAGAACCAAAATCATAGACTCCCACCTTCAAAGAGAGCAAAAAAAGAATTTAGCTAACAAGACAAGCCAAATGATAATGTCTAAAAAACACATATAAAAGATACATATTTATCTAATACAGTTACATAGTTAAAGTGGAATGCCAGACAACCTTTTTTTTTTTTGTTTTAGATATTGTAAAATCACTTTCAGGTTTATATTGCTGTCTGTTTCCCTCAAGAGCCACAAAGTTATGGCTTTAGAGACACAATTAAGTTGTGTTGTAATAAAAAGTTCTAGTCCACCCTTAAAATGTAAATTCCACTACTGGTTTTGCTATGGAGACATATTTTGCAGGCATTCTGCGATTAAAGTGATTCTAAAGGCATACATTAAAAAAAAAATAACAAACATGGCTAAAATTACCTGCTCTGTGTAGTGGTTTTGCACAGAGCAGCCCGGATCCTCTTCTCGGGTCCCCCCAGCAGTGCTACTGGCCCCTCCCTCCTGTCAGGTGCTCCCACAGCAAGCGCTTGCTATGGGGCACCCAAAAATGCGCACTCCCCAGCTGCTGCCCTGTGTGTCCAGTCACACAAGGAGCCGCGGCTCAGACCAGCCCCCTCTCTCTTCTGTTTGGCTCATTGGCTGTAATTGACAGCAGTGGGAGCCAATAGCTCCCGCTGTTGTCTCAGCCTATGAGAGGGAGTCCCAGGGTGGCCAAGACTCCAGTGCACATCACTGGATCACAGAGGGGGCTTAGGTGAGTATTAGGGGGGCTGGGGGGGATGCTGCATATGAAAGGTTTTTTTATCTTCATACAGTACATAGAATGGATGAAGGTAAAAAACCTTGAGCCTTTACAACTACTTTAAACCTACGAAACTATAATGGTTTTCAGTCACTGGTATGCTATTATTTTATGTTCACATATTTATACATAACAATCACTTTGCAAATAATGATGGGCTTTCTAAAAAGAAAGCCTAGCACTTCCTGCTTGTTTTGTTTTAGCATTGGTGTACAACTGACAAATGTCTACTACTCAATTTTAAGCACACTGGCTGCAGATATGCTTTTCATAGAACGTTGTGCATAGACAAGATAGAAATACATACAGTATGTTGATACAAAATGTTCTAAGTAGTTAAAGTGTTACCAAACCCACAACAGTAAAATCAGTCTGTATATGCAGTAAAGCATGCTTCTTATACTCACTGTGGAACCTACGTGGTTAATCCTCTGCATTGTGTAAAAAGGCTGTTTGATCCTTTCTTCTCTGTTCCTCCCCGTTTTCAAGCGACCACCACTTATCTCCAGACTGAACTGTAGTCATGCACATGCTCAGTTTGGTGTGTATTGCTAAGGAGGTTTTTTTTTTTTTTTCTTAGGAGAGTGCATGTGATCAGCACAGGGCCAATCAGCACTGTCAAGACAGAGGTCATGAGATTTGTATCCTCCTAGAGCAAAAAGAAAACTCCTCATACAAGTTTTAGCTAGTTGTGGGCAGGCCACAGATAGAAGCCACAAAACTGCTTTAATTGCTGATGAGAGAAAAGGTATTTAGCAGTTTATATTTACTAAAATAATTGCACTTCCATGTTCTGTGTACTGTGGGAGACCAGATATAGTGGATACAGGGTCTGGGGTTTAGTAACACTTTAAGTATTTTTTATTTTTAGCTCTGTGACCAATTTAGACAGAAAAGAGTGCAGCTTGTCCAGGGAACATTTTCATAGTAAAACAATTGTATCTTTTTCCTAAACATTTGTATCTTTTTCCTATGGAGTAGAAATATGCACAACGATGAAGACATTTTACAAATTGCTGTAAAAGGGCATTACTATTAAATTCAATGCAAGCTATTATTGTGGATACTTTGCCAACACAACTACACTGTAGATTGAGGAGGTAATTAAAAATATTTACTTACCAGGAGACCTTTTCATCATAAATAAACTGTAAAAACAAAGTTAAAGTACACATTAATAACATGTCATCTAAAGGCCATATATTTTATATCTAGGCTGTAGACTTTTTTGAGAAATTGTTTAAGTGATATAATTAGTTTATGTTACAGAATGTTTCAAAGTTTCTGAGACTGCTTCACAGATCATGTCCTTATGTGTGCAGGATCAATAAAAGTGCAAAACCAAGTCTGATCTTCATCTACATCTTCATAATAAATTGTCTCCCGTTATATTGTAAAGCACTGAGCAAACTGTTGGCGCTATATAAATCCTGTATAATAATAATAATACATTGTTATATAGAAAGTATACCATTTACAGGGCCATATTTTTACTGATCAAACAATTAAGGTGTCCTTTTATGACACAGAGAATAGCTGCGATTTCAACGGATCTCAGCTATTCTCTGGTCATTCACAGTTTATAACACTCAGGAGATCATGTCAGCCCTTCTCTGGAGATCTGTGTTCTCCCTCCAGATTCTCCAGCCCAGAGCTGGAGAATCAGAGGGACCGAAAACTAAGCAGAGATAGTTTACCTCTGCTTAGTTAAACTGATCTTTTACTATAATCTCGAGAGATTATAGTAAAATGAGCCGTTTTTCAGAGTTTGTAGACCGTTCTCCAGTGTTTGGAGACCGTTCTCCCTTCGTTCGGAGAACTGCTTCATAAACTGCATTCACAGGAGAACTGTGTTCTCCGAGAATGCCGGAGAACTGAGCAGCGATCTATTACCGCTGGTTCACAAACGGACACCTATGTCCTATGATGGAAATACCATGGAGTTGATTTACTAAAGGGCTGTTCACTTTGCAAGGGATCTTTCACTTTTCAGGGGTCCTTTAGCTTACTGAATGTAATGAAAATTCACTTTTGCACAAATACCCAATCACATGCAAGGGAAATTCTGGGGAACTCTTGGGAAAATGTCCCTGCAAAGTAAACAGTCTAACAGTCTATTTGTCTTCTTGTATTCTCCCCCTGAGGCCCTTTACAAAACTGATTCTGTGTGTTTGCCTTTCAGCTCATAGTTCTGAATTCTGAAAAAGAGACTGTGTTTTTTATATATGACAAAGCAAATCAAACCTGCACTGAATGGATGGGAACGTTTAACTCAATAACTGGAAGATCTAACTTTGTTAACATTCTTTTCAAAAAGTCTATATTCAGCAGAAAAAAGTGTTGGGCTCTTTTAGTCTAGCCCGGCAGTTCTGACAAAAAAAAAAATCTAAAGAGCCTTTTTTTCCGTTTTTCCTGCTTGAGTGGCATCTGCAGGGAGGAAGAGGCTGGAGTAAGCTGTGATTGGGTTACCAGTGCAACAAAGGGACAGGACCCATCCGTAGAAGCAAGTCATGATGATTCTAATTGGCTGGATGTCCAAGAAGTTAAGCCTCACCCACCATGGAGGCAAGAAAAGGAGAGTTTTCTGGGATCCATGTGGGGCAAGTGGTCCAGAGGGGAGCCCTGGAATGGTTGCAGAAACCATGTGGTCACCATGCTACTTGTCAGATGTGTGTGCTGCAAATTCCCAAGCACCATTTGGAGTATCCCTATTGTTTTGCCACAAAGTGCTGCTGCTGAAACAATTACCCAGAAACGGCTGTAGACCTGAGTGAGAACCCAGCAGCCTGCCTGCTCCACCTGATGGAGAGGTCCGTCTAATTGTACAAGTCTTCTCTTACTATCTACTTGGTGAATGTAGCAAAGGCTTGCATCCCAGCTATGTGGAAGCAGACACTACCCCCCGACTAGGTCACTGTGCTATTCCAAAGTCAACCATATTCTCCATATGGAGGACTTAACAGCAACACTTCACAACACTGAGGAGGCCTTCAGAGAAAGGTGGAGGCCCTGGAGACACTTTACCTGTACCAATAAATATCTACAGGTCATGTCTCAAGCTAACCCTGACCTTTCTTAAAGTACCCCGTGGGGGGGGAGCTTATTTTCTCCAGGAATCTGAACTGGAGACTGGAGAGCAGTCTCTTCTTTTTCTTTCTTACTACTTTCTGCTACCCTTGTTCTCTTTTAGTTCCTGTCAGCAAACTTGCCACAGTAGGTAACCAGCGCTTTGATTTTGTGCAGTACCTGCACAGACAGTTCACTCAGGCAGCTCTATGTAGGTTAAGCTCTAAATTGAATATCACGTTAGAATATTTCTCTTCTTATATAACTCCGAGTATCTGATTGAAGTATGTCTGTATTACCCCATGTGTTGCAATCTCTTTTCTCATTTATGTGGGGTGAAATTCGGAAATGTGATGTGATGTAGTTATCGACTCTAATGCTCTGTATTAGAAACCTTTGTAAGAAGGTTTCCATAAATAAAGATTAAAAAAAAACCCCAGAAAGCTGGCTTGGAAGGTGTGCCCACTGCCCAGACATAGGGACAAGTCCCTTTTGCTAGCCATTGTGGGATCATTGAAGCCCCTGGAACTAACTGCCACCCTTTGACGAGATCTTTAACCACTTGCTTTTGTGTTAGTACTCCAACGCTCCATAGCATGGGCCCCATGCTTCATGTCATCAACACATTGGCCAGAAATTGGGTAGGATCAGAGCGTTAGTTATCCCAGTTGGATGTCAGGGATGTAGGATACTTTATCAAGTTGAAATTTACTTACAGGGCTTTGCAGTCCAATAAAACCCATTGAAACATTCTCAAGTGTGATGTGGTGTCATTTGGATACTGGTAAGGTATAGTCATCACTAGTGGAGAAAAGAAGGGACCTAAGCATTGAGCGCTACAAAGCCGTTCCCCAATCTGTCTAAAACTAAAAAACTTTCAGAATAGATATACCTTATCCCAAATCAGCCATTTTTAACTCTTTCCAATTTGAACTCTTTTACTCCTGCTATTTTTGGTTTATTTTGTTCTTTTTTTTCCATTTTAATTGGAGTGTGTATATCACTGTTTCATGACTCCAGTCTTCAAAGACCAGCACAAGGTCATGTTTGGTCATCTAGGCAGCTGCAAAGCTATGATAACTGGTCACAGTGTTACAGAAACTTATTTTTTTAAAGATCTGTAAACACTTCTAAGTATGTTCTGAAAAAAAGCTGACTAAAAGAGATTAAACCACATTGAAGAAACCATTCATGCATAAATCCAAATAATTATTAGCAATTCACAAACTTTTTCTCAGAAATGTAAATGAGCTTGCTTTATCATTTAAAGTCCACAACTGCTGTAGACATTTTTTCGGGCTGATTTACTAAAAGCTTGATTTTATTTTATTTCCCTTGAGCCTGATAGGGTATTAGAGGTGAACAAATTCAGGAGTGAAAATAATAGGGTTATAGACTTATCTGTAAAAATCCTTTTCTTGGAATACAGTACAGGACAAAGGATCTTTAGTCTTAACCATGCAAGGGTGCAGGTAAGTGTTCTCATACTTCATTGATCTTCCTGGACTTCAGTAACTGCCTGCCTGTATTGGAGGTATAAGTAGAGAGCTATGCTGACAGTCTGCAGGAACCTGACATTGCTGCCGCGATCTGCTGATCATAGGTGCAATGCTTTACAGGCTGCTAAGGGGAAAAAAAACTAAATGCACATTTTTTTTACCTGCACCTTTTCTTTTTTTTTTTAAAAGATGAACTTATCCTTTAAACCAGGGGTAGGCAACCCTAAAGAGGTGGAGATCTACCTGAACAACATGGAAGAAGTCAAAGATCACCGGGCACAGTGTTGCCTCCTCACACCCTGATTTAAACCTCTAATTGCCATACTACCGTGTCACAGTCACAATAATGGGTTTAAAATCAGGTGATATGGAGGCAACATAACGTCTCCTCACCACCTGTCAAACGCACTGGGATCACTTTGCAGAGGAGCAGCAGTGCCTACTGCACCTGTGAATGAGCCCTTATTTGTAATTGGCAGCGGCACCCTAAAAGCTTGTTCACATGTAAAGCTGGGGTGGGAAAACACTGTGGTTGAATCCCTACCCCCTTTCGCTGCTGAGGCAGCAGCCAAAGTTGTACATATGCCGCAGCAAGAATTACACCCCCCTGTTGCTTTTGGTGGGTGCTACCACCTGTCAACCGAGACCCATTAAAGTAAATGGGCCACTGTGCAATTGCCCTGCAACTGTATGCTTCTGCAGGGTCCAAGGCCTGACGCACGTGGTGAGAAAGCAACACACCGTTGCCTGTTTAACCCCTTGTTTGCGGTACTGCACAAGGTTGAAGGGCAATTGCAGAGTGGCCTCATTCTTTTGAATGGGTCATGCTTGGCATGTGCTACACGCACCAACCATGACAGGGTGTAAGACCAGCACTACAGAGGAGACATCAACTTATGCAGCTCTTGTTCCCTACTACAGCTCCAACTTTACAAGCAGTTCCTCTGCATTGCATTTTGTTTGATGCTCTGGAATGGCATGTCAGCAAGCCCAGACCAAGATCTACCAGTCACCTAGCTGAGATATACTGGTAGATCACGATCTACTGGTTTCTGACCCCTGCTTTAAAGCAAACCTTGAGTGCATATGAGCTTGACATGCCTTCTCTATGAGAATTTTTTTGCAACATGTTGCAATATTCCTGAAGCCACTAGATGGCATCTTAATACTATCATTCTTGCTCCTAACTCTCACCCTGTTGTGCTGTTTAAATTTTTTTGCAAAAGGAGGAAAAAAGGCAAAAAAAAAGGTATTACCTAGGTTTGGGTGCTGAAAAAAGAAAAACTGTCAATCTAGCAATCATCAGAATGGAAAATATATCAGATACACAATTTACATGTATGGGAAGTCAAAATGCTAGTGCATTTTAAAAGGCTATTGACTTTCTTGCACGAATTTCTATACATTTTAAAATATACATGTATACTACTACTTCCTAATACATTGCGACTGATAAAAAAAAAAGAACTTCAGAAAATGCCTAGCGTTATCCTACATGGCGCTATGAATCTAAATGACCATTAGCTGCAAGAAGAGCATCGTCATCATCTTCAGATAGTTTATGGTTATATTGCACCACTTCAATTGCTGCGGCAGAGGTCGTTCCTCATTCCAGGGGA